TGCTGCATAAGTAAGGGAAGTTGACGATAGAAAAGTTTAAGTCATCACGTTTATCATATAACTTGGTTGTTAGGTTACCATTAATGTCCTTTTCAAGTAAAATATCCAAGTATGAAACAGGTGTGTCAGACTCTGTGGTATCTTTTATCTCAAGCTCTCCTGGATATATCGTATCGACATAGAGTGGAAATTACCATTGTTAATTGACAATACGTCGTCGATATATCTGAAGGTCGAGTTGAAGGCCACAGCAAGTGTTTTCCTCTTTTCACGCATAAGATTTTGCATAATTTTTTAAAATAAAAATAGGTCTGCTAATAACGGAGCACAAATGATACCCATGATTTCCAATAGATTGTTGGAAGACCTGGTCTCCAAAAACCACATAGATATTGTCAATCAGAAACTCAAACATCTTCTTGATGTCAACTTCAGAGTACTTGTATGTACAATCAGAATCTTTTTTAACAAAATAATTTTGCAAATGACCAATGACCAAGTAAGTAAATTTACGAGTTCCAATTTTATTGAAGAAGCAGCTGTCAATGATATCAAAAAGCCTGGATTGTAATTTATCTTGGGGAATGGTTGTGTATAAAGTTGAAAAGTCAAAGTTTTTAAGCTGTTGATTTTGGTAAAATCTTGTGATTTCAAATTGTCTAAAAGTTCTTTGGAATTTTTTAATATCCACATCTGATTCACACCACTTCTTGAATATATAGTTGCACAGTACTCTTGAAGTTTTTTTCTTCACTACTGTCAATATCTTAGTGAGGAGTAACGAAAGAGGCTTGGTTGAACATTTACTGGAACCCGCAATGTATCTTTGTTTGTAAGGATTCTTATAAGTTTCGGAATCCAATATATATAAGGTAGTTCAAGTTCATATTGGCTCTGTGGAATTTTAAAAATATTCAAAACTGACATATGATTTTGAAGAATTTCTTCCTAAGGAAGGGAAGTGTGGGTATAAGTAGAATTACCATTTGTAAAATTAAATCAAAGTTCTTCTAGAATATAATTTATATAATGAGCCTTATATGTCGGCAGGGACCAGTCCGTAATGATCATGTAATCTATCTAATTCTTTTTTCACTTCTGGTTTATTGAACACAGAAGAATATATACCCCGGATATGAATTTTCTTTGGTGTGTAATGTACAGATTGTTTGATATCATGCTTGAGAATGTATATCCATAATGTGAATTCTTTTCGGTGTTTTTGAACGAAACTTCTCAACTCATCTGAAGCTGAAATAAAAATGAAAAGAAAACTGAATTTATCATAAAGATCCGTCACCTGTAAGGACGTTCGTTCCTGTGCCTTTGAGTCGATTTTGGTCTGCACCTTTATTTCTTAAATTCTGCATCATTTTTCAGTTTTAACATTGAATTTAGATTCTACAATGCAAATTAAACTATATATCCACTGCAAAAACCGCAATTAATACCATTCATGTAGGATCAAGCCAGGAACTAAATTTTGTGACGCAGGTTTTTTAGAAGAAAATTATCAATTTTCCCTCTTGAACTACTAGTATACAATGCTGTTAATTTTAGATTCCTATTTTTTCATGCTGCTTTCACACAAAGCTTTTTTATTGCAATGAAATGTGATATGCTTGTTCTGAAATATCCATTAAATTATGTCTTATGAATTCTTTCAACAAAGGTGGTAAATATATTCTGAAAGTCCAGGAAAAAATTGAGCCAATTTTAATATAAGATAGACACATTTTTAGTAATATCTAAAAAATTACATCACATACCCCCACTTTTAATGTCCTTTTCTGAATAATTAAGATAACTTTGATCTATCTGCAAAAATTCAGCAAAAATTTGAAACTCAAAAATAATTTACTTCCTTATCAAATTTTCAATGGTAGAAAAATCACATTTTGTGAGTGCAGAAAGGTCAAATAATTGATAATTCGAAGCAATTTGAAACTTTTTCATTGTCACATTTAAAGTGTATTTATTAATATAAACTTATAGCTTATATTGTTCCATGCTTTCTTTGGATAAAAATGTAGGAGGTAAAACGTTGAAAACGTCAAAATTCAGTGCAAAAAGGTCATATTAAATGTACTGTAGCGCCAAAAGAAGCATATTGATCCCCGTTTTCTTATTTGATTTTTAATTAAGCTATATTTGTAGAAACTAAAAATATACTTGAGAGCTTAAGGTTAGGTACAAATAACTATTTAATCAATTCATATTTCAAAATTGCAAAAATTCAAATCGAAACAATATTCACTTCTTTTTTGGGAACAGCTCCATTTGTAAGCTCGCAAAGTTTAGCCATTTTTTACCGTGAATCACATGTGATAAAGAACAGTATCCAAGCTCGAAAGTCCATTAAAAATACAAAATTAGAGCAGAGCAAACGCGGACCTCCAAAACATCAGAAGTGGGATCAGGTGCCATGGAGGAAGGAGCTTCCCCTGCCGACCGTTTAGACCCGCCGTATGTTCGTTGTCAAGATCTGGAAATGACGGAGAAATCCGTCAACAATTCTGAGTATATAATGGCCTAACGATTAGTATGAACAAAGTCAGTCAACATTTGACTTAATGATAGATTGTATTTCCTAACAAGGTCATTGTATCGACCATAGGGCTTTAAACGAGACTGCTGATATTCTTGTTTCAGCAACCCGTTTGTCCATAACTTACCTCGTTTTAAAAATTACTAATATGTAGAGCATGCTCTTGCGTATCGAATCAACTGAGAGATATAAACCCCGTATGCAAGTGATGAAGGTATATTGTAGCATAAGTAAGGGAAAATGACGATTGAAAGATTAAAGTCATCATGTTTATCATAAAGCTTGGTTGTTAGATTATCATTAACGTTTTTTTTAAAGTAAAATATCTAAATATGAAATAGATGTTTCAGACTCTTTTGTATCTTTTTTATAAGCCCATCGCGATATATCTTATCGAAATAAGAATGGAAACAACCACTGTTAGATAACAATTTGTCTCCTTTTTTCTGCTAAGCAACGCACTACAAAAAGAAGAAAATCCATGTTCTTACTCAATTCAAGTTAGGAAGAAATTATAAACTTGTGATCTATAGAAAGAAAGTAAAATTTCAATTTGAACTTGCTATTTAAACAGCACATTGTTTTTCATAAGAAATAGTGGATGAGCTCTTGTTTTGACAGAGAGTACGTTTATTTGTCATGAAATGTCTCCCATTGTCATGAACAGAGACAACTAAAGAGTCGGCAATAACAAATAATTATGTGTATATGTGTTTTCCTATTTCATTTTGCGTCCAGAAAACATCAACTTTTGTGTGACTTAAAAAAAAAAATCAAAGAATATTTTTTTTCCAAATGTATTACCTTCAAAAGTTAGTTATATAAAAGCTTAAAATCTTTCAATGGAGATTCTGACAATATTTCATGATGGTGTTGAAAACATCAACGCTTTTATATTAGATTCCTTGAGAAACTTTTTAAACGAAAGTATAATCAAACTAAGAGAATATCATTTCACACTAATACTAAGACCTGGTAATGCACTAGAATGACAAAAAATGTATGGCTAATGTGCCAACAGAGACTTTTATACAAGTATTTACTAATAGAAAATGGAAATGGAAGAATGTCTGAGTGGTGTTCTAGTGACAAAATATAAATCGAACCATTACTGAGAAAATTATTTCGGTGTTATTTGTCCAGATCTTTTCTTACACGTCTTTTGAGACAATCCCTCGCAGAATAACCTTTTATTTGCTGTTATGAAAACAAAATGACAAAGCAATAATTAACTATTAATTTATCTCTGAAATTATGTTTTGTTTTGTGCATCTTTAGGCTAAAACTTTACATAACGCAAAACATGTTTATACGTTTGATCATGCACAAGAAAAAAAGGAAGACTAATATTATTTGAAATTCCAGTCATCGATGTTTAAACTTTTATTTTGAGTCATGTAATGCATTCAGATAGGTGGTACCCAGAAGTTTCTGTTCAATATAAAATGATAGAAAGAATTCTTTTTATTGTGTAATAATTATAATATTGTGTAATAATGATGCTGAAGAATGATTTTGAAGAATGATCCTTAAAGGAATAGGACTTGTGCTTTTAATACATTTAAGCTATAAAGAACAAATTAAATATGATTTTTACGACTGAGAGATTCTTAGTCCTCTTTTTGTCGAGTTAGGAATGTGCATATTCTATATACACAGTTTTTCACAGACGAATATAATGCCAAGCATAGTGTCAATCATAAAAGATGTTTTTTTCTCTCTCCTGTATATTATGGGTGATGTTATTTGTGGTAAATCCTATTCCTTCTCTGCTTCTTTAATACATACAGTGAATTGATGAATGCAGGACTTTGCCAAGATTTTTCCAGTGCCTTATAAACTGTAAAATGCTAGGCTTTTTAGTGTGAAATCCCTTCTTCATATTTCTCTGTAGTTTTCAATAATTTAAAAAAAAAACAATCTGCTTATGTTAACTTTAAACAAACTGCACTTGATGACTTTGTGCGAAATGAATATAAAATCTTTTGAATTATAAGGATTGCTTATTTTTTTTTACAATCATTATATTTCGTTGTACTAGTACATCAATTATTACAAGTTATAAACAGAGATTATAAGGTTAGAATAGAACTTTGAAAAACGGAACATTTTCTACGCTTTTCAAGATGATGTAAATAATGATTCATATTCAAATAGTAAAGTCAAACCCTGGCTTAGAAATTACGTGACCGATGTATCAATATAGCAAAGTGCGTAGATAACAATTAAATTTCTGTAATTGGAACTCTTCCATATTCATTAAAGAATGCTCAGTTTGGCTTCTTTTTTTCATTTCCATAAATATTCATGATATTTTCTGCAAAATAAAAGTAGACCGTCTTGAAAGCGTACAAATAACAAGCGTACTTTCATACACTTCTATTTAAGGATTTCTTAACTCAATTCAACATTTGACAATTATTTTCTTTTCCAGATCAGAATGAACTGTTCTCTCCAGATAGAATACTGTTTGAGGCAGAATAACAACTGTAGCTACGAGGTTCTTCTAGGAATTAAAGAGCAATGTATCTCAGTAGTAGAGAGCGGGGATGTACTTTCTTCTCAATATGCATATAAACTGAAGGAAGGGCTGCTCTTATACATCTCTCCTGTCCTCCTGGTGTTTGGAGTTATTGGTAATCTACTCTCCTTTGCTGTGCTTAATCAACAGTCAAAGAAAATGTCAACATATTCCTATCTTAGTGCGTTAGCTATCATGGATATATCTGTACTGTTAGTTGGATTATTACGTTTATGGATTGCCGAGATAACCGGAAGTGACGTACAAGATGTTTCGGATGTAACTTGTAAGCTTGTTTCGTTTCTGGGCTACGTTTGTAGTGATTCTTCAGTATGGTTGATAATAACAGTGACAACCGAGCGCTATATAGCAGTTTGTTACCCTTTGAAAACGCAGGTATTCTGTAAAATTGAAAGAGCCTGGAAAATCTCCCTTTTGCCTATTGTAGTGATTTGTGCCATTAACTCCCATTTCTTTTTCACTGTGTCTATTCAACAAAAGCTGGGTAAAGCAGAATGTGCGGCAGGGCCGTCATTTGAACTTCTTGTTAACAATATTTGGCCTTGGGTTGATGCCGTCATTTATTCTTTCCTCCCCTTTCTAATTATAGGAATTCTTAACGGCTTTATAATCCGGAAAATATCAAAAGCCGAGAAAGAACGAAAACGATTTCTTCAGGTCAAACAACATAGTGCGCGTGTGATAAGACGCTACAAATCTTCTGATTATAATAAAAAGTTGACGACCATGCTGCTTTCAGTTTCCTTTACATTTCTTGTGACAACAATTCCCATGAACATTGTTTTGATTTTCACGGCATTTTGGAATAAGCAGACGGATAATGACGTTAAAGGAGCGGCCATTTTTCATCTCATCAAAACTATCAGCGAACTGCTTATGTATGTTAACCATTCTATTAACTTTTTCCTTTACTGTGCCACAGGACAAAAATTCAGGAAATCGCTATTGAAATTATTTTGCAGAAAGCGTTATGGCAACTTCGGTAACGAAAGAACATTTTTTACATCGGTTGGACAAGCACATAGTCCATGATCATATATAAAGAAACAAACTTTTAATGGAGAATATCCAAATTCTATTTTCATGTCAAGAAACTAAAATATATAAGTTAAATTTTATATCGTTAAAAGAAAACAGTTTTATTTCCATTCCCGCCCAAATCAGTTGATCTATTTAAATGTTTTTATTTAAATTGTTTGGTCCTCAGGTACTAAAGAGTGAACGAAAATGCTGAAAAAAAAATCAAATGTCTCTGAATTCTCAAATTAATGTATATTAATCCACTGTAATTCTTCTCAGTTAATCATTATATTCAATCATATATGACAAATATCATATCATTTATCCGAATAAGTGAGCAATTCTTCCAACTATGCATTTTATTTTATTTGAAAATTAACAAATATATATTAAGATTAAAAAACTTAAGGTATTCAGGTATTTAGAGAAATTTGTATGTTTTTATACGTATGCGGTATTTCAGTTCTTTAAGTTATTACGAATCACTTTTAATTTCATGTCATAATAAAAATGTCCTTTTTAAAGGAAGATCGATTTCTAAACAAGTATTTTTTAAAGAGTTTATGGAGGTACAAATGACAACTTTTTAATAAGATTTTTTTCTTAGACTTCAAAGGACTTCGAGTCTCGCTGAGATGCATGAAATGAAAATTGTTGCACGAAAAAATGACTACTTCAAAATTCACTATAATACATTTTAATATAAAAAATAATAATTTTTACAGTTAACGTTCCTGCTGAGGAGAGGTTATCCTTATATTTATCCATAGATTTTATTAAAGGGATGAATTATTTATATATCCTAAAAATATATAAAACAAAAAAAATGCTATTTCTATTGTGTTGCCAATCGGGAAAACATGGATTTCATGCAAAGGATTAGACAAAAAAAAATAATGTGTAGTATTCAATGGACAACTTGACTTTATATAATACAGCTCAACGCACTTTTTAAGCTCCCATGGTTTTTCGCACAAATTAAGGTCACATTTTTGTAATAAAAATTACTATTTTCGAACTTCAGTACGATGGCATAGCCCTACGTTATATTATATATATAATGTCAAGTATAAATTCCCTTTAAAATTATTATCATAAGTTTCCAAAGTAGATGTTTTAGAGGGGAATTTATCAATAAATGGTACGATGTTTCTTTAAGGCTTCTACTATAGGTTTTTTACAAATTATATAAAACGTGCTTTCTTTGATTTTTAATTTTCTTCTTAAAGGTGAGTATTTAAAAATTTTTTTTGCTCATTTACCATACTTCTCTTGGTTTTGTCGAAATGTAGCACGGAAAAGGGATTACATTGCAGAAAGAAACCATACTAAGGGGTAGGATAATGAAGTATTATTATTTTAAATAGTAAATTCTTTCTAGGAAAAGGAAAATTCTTCTGCATTTACGGTTTGAAACGTTAAAATTTTGCTTTGGGATGAATCTTTCATGATTCTAGATTTTAGATGACTCTGAAAAAATGACACCTTATTAACATACAAAGTAGTCAAACAGATGAAAAATACTATCATCGCCCTGCGCTAAAGAGTCAGAATGTACAGAAAATACAAGTTACAGTAGTGTACTGTGCCCATGTCCACGTTTCTACAAAGTATTACTGCTTTCAAAAGAACGGATAAAAAGACAATTGGCAAGAAACTACAGAAAATCAAATGGAAATAGTTGTTATTTTTCATCCAAGAATATATCAAAGTTCTACCAATTGATTTGTATGAATTATGTTTTAGTAAATGAAATAAAACTCAAACAATGTAACAAATACTTCTAAAATGTATTTTGTTGTCTCAATACACAACATTACATTATAACAATGTGACCTTAATTTGTGCGAAAAACCTTGTGATCTTAAAAAGTGCGTTGAGCTGTAAAAATGAAGTTTATAATGATTGATGAGAGGAATTTTGATTACTTCTACAGATGTGAATTTGAATCAAATGTTAAGTGGTGAAATGAAACATATTGAGATAACAAACAGTATTCAAGATCAAAAGTCCATAAAACAATACAAAATAGGATAGGAGCAGAGCAAACACGGACCTCCAAAACATCAGAGGTGGGATCAGGTGCCATGGAGGAGTAAGCATCCCCTGCCAACCGGTCACACACACCGGTCACACGTGCTCTAGTCATGATCGGGAAATAACGGAAAATCCGTCGTCAATTCAGTGCATAAATAATGGACAAACAATAAGTATGAAAAACGTCAGTCAGCATTTGACTCAATGATAAATTGTATTGCTGACCGGGTCATTGTATCGACCATACAACTTACGAAATGATGACTTCAAACGAGACAGCTGGTATTCTTGTTTCATAAAATTTTTGTCAATAATTTACCTTGTTTTAGAAATTGTTCATACGTAGAGCATGCTCTTGCGTATCGAAATGAAATCCTTTCCTTAGAGGAAATATGCAGATCATTGCTAGAAAAAGCCTGCATAATCATATTTAGTCCAATTTGTTGAAAATGTCCATTTAATCACATAAAAACTATTTTACATATGTTCGAAGTTATGATATAATCTATAACATTTGATTTCTTGACTATCTTAAACCAACTTTAAATATTTAAGATCCCAGTAGGAAAAAAACCTGGACTGAAATGGAAAAAAAGACGGAAGGAGTGTGAAAAAGTTTTTTGATTAAAAAACAATAGATATCAAAACTTGAAATTAAAATGTTAAAAATAACTTTATACTTATATATGCGATACAATTCACTAATTCTATGTTTTTGTAATTATTTTTTCCAAATACAGAGAATTTAAACTTACCTGCCCTCGATTGTTCAACACTATAAACACATGAGAAGCGGGGCTAACATTGTAAGAATAGGTCTTAAATTAGAGTAGATTATAACAATGATATGTATTAAAATTTCGATATCAATATTTTCTATCTCCCTATTTTATTTATTTTGCATTGCACTTGTACATGTACATTCTTTAGAAAGTTTTAAAACATAATAAACAATATGAGCCCCTACATTTAGGTAAAGAATATTTTAATTCGATGTCTGACGATTTTACGTGTTCCTCTTTAGCTAAAACATGCTATCTATAAGTCACGTGACATAATTTAGTATTCACAAAGTTACCTAAAAAAATATCACGTGGTGAATTATAATATTCAACGTGTAACAGCCCTTGGTTACAAAAGAGAGAGCAAGTGTAAGAAGAAGCATTTTTTTTCTTTGAAACCATAGCGCATGTCTGTCTATGAATCCTTTTTTAACACAACATTACTAATGCAAATATACAACTACTCTTAAAAGGAGAACAATAGACAAACATGCACTGACTATGTAAAAAGTCATTTAAAAAGTGGGCGTCCTCATTACCGTATGGAGATTGATGAAAGTGTGTTGATCCCTACCTTAACGCCCTTTCACAATTGGCGCACGAGCACTTTACAACACTTTGCAATTGGAAAATTTTAGGTTGAGTCTAAATATCACGGGCCTAGCGTATTTATGAATATTTATGAGATGTCACTAACGATAAGAAGAAACCCGGTGGTTTATATTATTTCCGGAATGTATTTTTTATCATCGTTGATAAGAAAACCATGTCAATTTTTTGTTTTTAATGCATTAAACACCGATTTAACGTTGAAATTCATGCCTAAAATAAATGAATTAGTTTTTTTTTCAATTTGTAGATTAACATCAGGGAAATACTTATTCATCAATATAGAATATTAAATGAATCGTAAATAAATATGAAAACGAAAGAAAAGTATTACAAAAAAAGAACATTTAAATGAGAAAATAGTTTAAAAATTGAACTTAAATGAGAGTGATAAGGACGGAAACAAAAATATCAATTTTACAAATAAAAAACAACACTCGATAAAATGTAATCTGTTTAATTAGTAAATAAATAACAGCATAATCTATTTGCTTAATAATACAAAAATTTACACCATAAAATAAAACAAAAAAGATGAAAATATGAAATATTTATTCCAAATATTTAAAAAACTCACTTGAACTGAAATAATCAAACTAATAAAAGCATTTACTTTCCGGCACTGATGATATGTACTTCCCTCTGAGTACAATATAATTAAACAAGGCTGTTGGAAGAGTCGATCACTTTAATGCAACAAAAACATAACAGAATAGTATAATACATATAACAAAAGATATTGATACATTCCATTGAGTACCTGATTACAACAATACAGGTAAGAGTCCTGTACCCTAGGCTATTGATACGGTCTACCGAGTACTACAGAACAGGTAAGAGTCCAATACCCTAAGCTATTGATACGGTCTACCGAGTACTACAGGACAGGTAAGTGACTGAACCCTAGGCTATTGATACTGTCTACCGAGCACTACAGGACAGGTAAGAGATCAGTACCCTAGGCTATTGATATGCTCCACAAAGTACTACAAGACAGGTAAGAGACTGAACCCTAGGCTATTGAAATGGTCTACCAAGTACTACAGGACAGGTAAGAGTCCAATACCCTAGGCTATTGATACAGTCTACTGAGTACTACAGGACTGGTAAGAGATCAGTACCCTAGGCTATTGATACGGTCTACCGAGTACTACAGGACAGGCAAGAGACTGAACCCTAGGCTATTGATATGGTCTACCGAGTACTACAGGACAGGTAAGAGTCCAATACCCTAGGCTATTGATACGGTCTACCAAGTACTACAGGACAGGTAAGAGACTGAACCCTAGGCTATTGATATGGTCTACCGAGTACTACAGGACAGGTAAGAGTCCAATACCCTAGGCTATTGATACGGTCTACCAAGTACTACAGGACAGGTAAGAGTCCAGTACCCTAGGCTATTGATACGGTCTACCGAGTACTACAGGACAGGTAAGAGTCCAAACCCTAGGCTATTGATATGGTCTACCGAGTACTACAGGACAGGTAAGAGACCGAACCCTAGGCTATTGATACGGTCTACCGAGTACTACAGGACAGGTAAGAGTCCAATACCCTAGGCTATTGATACGGTCTACCAAGTACTACAGGACAGGTAAGAGACTGAACCCTAGGCTATTGATATGGTCTACCGAGTACTACAGGACAGGTAAGAGTCCAATACCCTAGGCTATTGATACGGTCTACCAAGTACTACAGGACAGGTAAGAGTCCAGTACCCTAGGCTATTGATACGGTCTACCGAGTACTACAGGACAGGTAAGAGTCCAATACCCTAGGCTATTGATATGGTCTACCGAGTACTACAGGACAGGTAAGTGACTGAACCCTAGGCTATTGATACGGTTTACCGAGTACTACAGGACAGGAAGTGACCGAACCCTAGGCTATTGATTCGGTCTACCGAGTACTACAGGACA